GGCGTACGTCAGCCGGAGTGGTTTTCCCCACAGGCATGTCATCCGTCAAGATCGAGTGCGTTGCCAACGAGGGCTGCAGGATCGGGGAGTCTCCCGTCTGGGACGAGAAGGAAAGCGCGCTCCTCTTCGTGGACATCACGGGCAGAAAGGTGTGCCGCTGGAGCCCGGCCGCCAAGCAAGCGCAGGCCATCTCTGTGGGTAAGGAACGGCTGGAAAAACCCTCTGCCGAATCTAAGAGTTGTGCGTTCCGACTCGGTGCCGCGTCCCTGCCCAACGCCGGCAGGACTGCTGTAGGTGATGCTGGATGGTGCTCATCTTCTGGTGCAAGGAGACTTCTCCCCGAAACTTGACCTTGCTAGGCCAAAGAGGACACGCAGAAACTAAATGCAGTGCCTGGCCAAACTTAGTCCTGAGGACTTTTCTTATGATCGTGTGCTGGGACCCAGGGGTTGGGTTTATACGCGCTTGCTCTTGACAGATGAATGTCAACCAGAATGATTTGTAATTTGTAATGATTGGATTACATTTGATCTACTTCTCTTTCCTGTAATTGTTCACAACCTGCTCTCTTCTGCTTGCTCTTTATCCCAGAGGTAAGGTCACCAAGACTCTCCTCTGGTGCTGATGTCTGTGGGAGTTTTGTTACTGATTTGAATGAGCAGTGCCCATAACATTTTCTTTATTAGAAGAAAATCTCCCATAATGATTTAAGAAGATGATGGTTTTTTAAGGTAGCGGTGTCACCAGCTGGAGCATCAATAGTTCAATTATTTATTCTAGAAAGGAAGAGGTGTGCTAACTCTTATAAAGAGTTGCAGATTTACTTCTGGATGTGATTACATAAAATCTGTTTGTCTGAAGACAGCTCCTTAAATGGTTTAAGTACTTGGATTTATTACTTCCTCATGTTCAGCAACATTTGGCCAAAATCACTTTTGCCCACCTATAAGCTGTTCGCATTATTCACAGTAAATGGATCTGGGCTTGTCTGCCCTTCAAATTACTGTAGTTACCAGTTTTAAGATGAGAGAAGGCCTGATACAGATTTTGGAAACATTGTTTCCCAAACTTATTTCCTCTTACATTAGCTGAGAGATCGTGCATCTCCCTGCCTCCCACTGCAACTCGGACCTACTCTCAAAGGTGTAATCTTTTATATGTGGCCTCTCTGGAGATGTAGAAGGGATAGTAGCTGAAATAGCTGTAGCTACTCTTTTTTTTTTTTTTTTACTTCCTTCTGTTTCCTCTGTTTAGTAATAGAATAGTTATAATTAATTGCTGTGCCTTTGGGAATACCATGATTAAAAGACCAAAAAAACCCCAAACACCCAGAAAGTGCCATGTGATTAAAATAGCGGATTGATGCCCAAAGTGGAAACTGAAAGGGAAATTACTCATTACTGAAGCTTATAGAGAATTACAACAACGCCACACTTAGCAACAGCTTCAAATGCCCTTTTCGACTCTACAGGGAAAACACCAGTACATACATAACCATGCCTGGGGGGAGACCTTATGGTCAGCTTTCTGTTTGGCATGAAAGAGTATTGCAAATAAATCAATTCCTGTGGATGCTGCTTAACGAAGCCCTCCGGGGTAGCTGTGGACTGAGCCGGGTGCACGGGCTGATACACTCGCTTGTGCTGCATTTGTGCCGTGAACAGTAGGGTGGCTGTGTCCCTCTCGCTAGCCTGATACACCCCTTTCCCCTGGGGTGCTTTGTTGGGAGGGTGTGGGGCCGTTCTTGTGGCTGTAGGGGTACCCGGAGGATCGATACCTCCAGGGACAGGCAGGCAGGGGTACACAGGCTGCTGTGCTGGGGGGCTGCTCCCACTTGCCCAGCGTAGATGAGCCTGGGCCACCAGCAGTGTGGTCACACGCCTCCAGGTGAAGGAGTTGCTAGAGTTGAGCTTGCAACTGGGTGTGCAACTCAGGTGTTGGGGGCAAATAGCATTTGGGTTTCTAGCATGGTGGTACTGCTGCCAGAGCTGCAAAGGGAAGGGGCATCCTGGGTTGAGAGCAAGGAGCCAGAAAGGAGCAGCTCCTTTTGGCAACAGTGGTGGCTGGTGGTGGTTATAAGTGTTTTGTGAAACTATTACCTAATAACACCTCTGCAAAGCTATAAATACAAGAAATGTTTTATTTTTAAATTAGAAAGTTGGTGAGTAGTCCCATACATATTAAATATTATCCCAGACTTCATTGCCCTGTTTAAAGTTATTATTCCTTATATTGCATCTGATTGTAGGCTTTTACAGAAATGTTATCTTCACACTCACTTCTCGGGTTTTTTTTTACTAATTCCTTTACAATAACCTGCAATTGAGGTTTTACTGCATAATAGCTCAAATGAGTGTAAACTAACCATGGAGGATTTACTAATTTTCTGGTTTGCTTTAACTCTTGGAAAGCTCTGCCACTCCTTGGCGTGCTTTTGGTGCTGCTGGAGGCATGTCTGAACTGCACGGCAGAGCGTGGTGCAGGGGGGTGGCTCTCCTGCCCAGCGTGACCTGTCCTAGCACAGAGATACTCTCTGTCTCCATGAGTTACATGTGCAGGGCTGATTTACCCAGGAGCTGTGCTAAACAAACACAGTTGCTCCAGAGCTCTTGTGGCAAATGATTTTTCCCTTGGGCAGGGGGGAACCCACATGGTAAGCTGTTGTAAAAAGCATACATGCCTGTATCTGTCACCCTTTTTATGTTGTTTTTTTTCTAAAGCACCTAGCAGAACCAGGTGCTGGTAATGATTATTGCTCCTGGGAGCAGTGGTAATACTCAAGTTCCGAGTTTGTATGTCCCAAACTGGTGATTCTCTTTGTAGCCACTTTCTGTATTTATTAAGTATGCTTTCTTCATGTGAAAGGATCTATTTCTATGTATTTAAACATCAGTTTTGTTGGTAGAAAAGTAAGTTGTTTCTCTTGCCTGTGGTCTCACTGAGTTCAGTGTGACTGCTTGTGTGTCTAAAGTTGGCAGAAAAGAAATGTGTCTTTATAGCACATACCTCTTTTCCATTTCATCCTGGTTCTAGATGCTCCTGTAAGCTCTGTGGCTCTCCGGAAATCTGGGGATTATGTCATCACTCTGGGAACCAGGTTTGCTGCTTTGAAATGGAAAGAGCAGCTGGTAACCACCATTACTCAAGTGGACAAGGATAAACCAAACAACCGATTCAATGATGGGAAAGTGGATCCTGCAGGGAGGTATTTCGCAGGTATGCTGCAGCCGGTTCCTTCCTTCTGCTGCTCCACTAGGTTTTGGTGACAAGATGCAGCGACCAGTTGTAGATGCAGCAAGTGCTCGTTCATAGTTAAATGGTGGGGATTCTTTTTTTGTTGTCTTCAAGCAGAGTTTAATCCCATTTACAAATCTATTTGTATCACCTAATCAGAACTATTTTTTTAAAAAGAGGCCTACGGTTCAGAGCCTGCCTAGTTAAAGACATTGGCCTTGCCTCCTGCCTCTTGGCATGCTTGTTTTGAATACTGGCACAGTGCCAATAGAAAATACTTTTTCAGTGAAAAATTTATGATATTGTTGGTTTTGTTCTTCATAAATCAGAATTTATAGATGGTATTTCTAAAAACTATGTGACTTCAGCCTCCCGGAGAAGAGAAGGCTCAGGGGGATCTTATCCATATGTGTTAAGTACCTGATGGGGGGGGGGGGGGGGGGGAAGAAGAAGGTGCCAGGCTCTGCTCAGTGGTGCTCAGTGGCAGGACCAGAATCAAGGGGCACGAACTGAAATTCAGGGAATTATTTAAACATAAGAAAACTCTTTTACTGAGGATGATCAAACAGTAGAACAGGTTGTCTAGAGAGGCTGTGGAGTCTCCATCCATGGAGATCTTCAAGGCACAGCACTGCCCTGAGCAACCTGCGGTGGCTGACCTTGCTCTGAGCAGGGGGTGGGCCTGGATGATCTCCAGAGGTGCCCTCCAGCCTCAGCTGTCCTGGTTTTTAAAACACCGTTCTGTGCATCTGCCATGCAGTTGGGTTCCCAGGCTTACCTTAACTTGCTTTTACCCAGCCTCTCAAGAGCCAGTCTCGGCTGCCAACTTTGAGCCACGAAGATGAGATTTCCTTTTGAAGAAGCTTTAGTGAGACTCATTCTAAGGGAGGAGGAAATTTTTTTCCAGTCTCTCTGCTATACAAGACGTTAAGATTTGTGGGAAGTTAAATGCTGACCACACCTTTCTTAATATTTGAATGACTTAATAAAGTGTTTTGCAGAAATCACGCTGCACACCATTTCTGCCACAGTTCAACAAAAAAACAAAGGCTGTGTTTTGTCATCTTCTGCTAAAAGCAAGCACTTTTGAAATCTACTTTTCTCTTTTGCTTTTAACTCAGTTTCTTCCACAAATTTGTGAAGCCCCTGCACTGCTCCCTTGTCCATTGGCAGTGTGGTCATCATCATGGCGAGGGGCTGCCACCAAACCTGAAGGAGAGCCCATTCACTCTGAACTTGCTTTCTCCCATTCGGCTCTGCATAGGTACGATGGCTGAGGAGATTCAACCTGCTGTGCTGGAAAGACACCAGGGCTCTCTGTATACCCTCTTCCCTGACCTCTCAGTGGTGAAGCATTTTGATCAGGTGGACATTTCTAATGGGCTGGACTGGTCGCTGGATCACAAAACCTTCTTTTACATTGACAGCTTGTCCTACTCGGTGGATGCCTTTGATTATGACATCCAAACTGGAAAAATTGGTATGAATTGTTGTATTCTAAAATAATCTTTTGTGCCTAAAGATTGTGGTTTGTTTCCTTACTGGTTATTATGCAGAGATGATCAGAGTTTTGTGAGCGCTTCTTCAGAAACCTCTTTAGAAGAAAACAACAGAAGCCATATTAACATCCGTCTGCACCTGCGTAGGCTCCTAGCTCAGACTAGTCAGAGGCTGTTGGTAGTATTTAAATTGCATGGCAGAGTTTGAGTAGTAATCTGGACAACTGTTACTAAACACAATGCGTATCTGGTCTTCCTGTGTGAAAAGGGTGAACTGTTTCTTGCGTGGCTAGGTTTTATGTGGCTGCATGTTTCTTATTACTGACAGCATAGGCAAAGTAACAAAGCTTGTAGTCTTGTGCAAAACCTTTGCTGGCTTCTGCAGATTTTTTTTACCCTGTTTTGTTTTTTAAAATATAAGCTCCTAAATGAAGATTCTGCAGACAGAGCTAAGCAACAACTGGAAGGCAGTAACTCAAAACTTCTTCCCTCATTTATTTAAAACAAAATAAAACAAGCCCTTAAGGGCTTCTACAAGCTTGGGCAAAAGAAAAATTCCAGTGACTTGGACCAATAATTTGCTTTTGAGTACGTGGACTGCGGTATTTTGCTTTAAAAGAACCCAGTCAATTTGATATTTAGTTTTAAAACTGTGAATTTAAAGTCATTTTAGGTGTAGCATCTTGTCCTGATGTCTCTCTGCTATGGCTTACAACTGAATTTTTCTTTAGGAAATAGTGTGGTTCTCCTCTCTCTCTCATCCGTGCTCGTTCACTGTCTTTCTGTGGGCAATCTGACAAACCCCAGGAGCACAAAGGAAACTCATTAAAAATATTGCTACATATGAGAAACACTGAAGTTGTCAGAGCATAAAATAAACAATGTTGGAAAGTTGGTTTTAATTTTCTGTAATAACAGTGGATAAAAGTTCAGATAGAGTTGTTTGGTTTTAGGTTGACAGTATGGCTTTGAAGTTGATGCTTTTCCTAACTCTGTGTTTATATAAACTCTTGGTTTATATATCTGAAGGTCAGTTTTGTGTTGGAACAGTGATTATTGGCACGTTCCAGCAATCTGTTTGAAAAGTCTCCAGTTCTCTGGCTGGGAGCGACCTATACTTGAAATGATCCAAACTGCTTTTAGAACAAGTAATTAATTTTCTGAATATATATAACATTAATTTATGCAGTTATTCATTTAATACTTTAAGTAGGGAGCATGAGTGACGCACTAGAAAAGAACACCAGAAAAAAGGATTTTATTTTCAATGGATAGAAACTGATCCACAGGCTTTCACACTGAGAAACAACTGTCTCAGGAAACAAACAGGGCAGCAGACACAATCTATTTCTTTCATATGAAAAAACTCTGGACTTCAGCACAGCTTTTGAAAATTATAGTACAAATAACTCTGCTGGGCTGTGACTGATAAAAATTTTAACAACTGTCTCACTCAGTTTTGTTGTGGTTTTTCTACCCTGCAGGCAACCGTAGGAGTATATACAAACTGGAGAAAGAGGAAAGCATTCCTGATGGGATGTGCATTGATACAGAAGGCAAGCTCTGGGTAGCTTGTTACAATGGTGGGAGAGTGATTCGTCTTGATCCTGAGACAGGTAAGTCCTTGCAAAGGGTGGACTGGAATTCTGTGTTCAAAAAAATAGAAAGAAGAAACAAAAGCAAAGAACAGAGGTGGTTTTTTCCCCCCTCACAGAAATAGTGCATCTACTATTTTTAAAAGCATTACTTTTTTTTTTTTTTTAAAAAAGCAATTTTATGTCCCTGCTCTCAAAAATTAGCTTTGTAAATAAGTCTCCTTTGCTCCCAGCCTCTGTTGTGTTGGAAAAGGTAAAGTTGCTGAGGGGATTACTGTTATACTTGCGAATTATTTGAGTTAGCATCCTCTTGCATCCTCCAAACTTAAGATCAGCATTTACTTTATTGAGAAGTGATGTGGAAGAAAAAGAGTAAATCATGCAATGGCAAAGATGACTTAAGCCATTTTTTTGTCTTATTTCTTCAGCATAGTGTATCATTTTGGGCACCCTACTGATGTTAATACAAGTCCCACATGACACTGATGTCCGCAAGATTTTTTTATTGTCAAAAATTATATGATAAATTTTGCAATTGAAATAAAAAATATGTAATGAATTCCACAGCATTTTATCATTCCCACAGTAACATCTTGGTTGTGCCCACTGTCTGAGCCTGTCATGTGTTGCTACCCTCATTTGGACTTCGGTGGTCTGCCAGGCATGGCTTAGTCTGGGCAAAAAACACTTGTGCAGCACTTCAAAGAGACTGAACCATGCTGTCTGCAAGGGGCCAGTGGGTGAGAATGGGAGCGTGATTTTGACAGACCCTAGGCAGCACAGGTTTGCATAATGCAGCATAGGAGCAACTGCGCTGGGTTGCATCTGGGGTCTCTTGAACCCAGGTCCAGCCCTAACAGAAGTCTTGGGGTTTTGTGGGGCTGCAGATTCAGTGATGCTAGTGTCCCTTGACATGTCCCACCTCTGCAGTGCACAGCAGACCCTGGCACACGTGCACCAGGCGGGTCAGGCTGCAGCCTCTCTTCTGACTCCGCTGGAACCTCTTACTTAAGGCTCAGGCCGTGCTTTTGATTTGTACCCATCCGAGGTCTTGCCAACCTGTGGGACTTCCTCCGGTCCTGCAGAGTCTGCACTCCAACCCTAGGAGGAGGAAGCTCCCGTTGGGAGATCCCAGCAGCTCTGGGACCTGTTTCTGCTCCCACATCCTCCCTCTTTGGTGGGCAGAGCACTCCTTGGTGACCTCTGCCAGCCCTTTGAATACACTCTTGGAGCAGTTAACTCTTACCATTCTTCCTCTCTGTTTCACTGTTTCAACTTTTTTCCTCCCTGGCCTTCACCTTCTTCCTTTTCTTACTTGTTTTCCCTTTCATCCTGCCTTTTGGAGGTGTTTTCTTAAGGGAAAGCTAAAAAGAAGTGTCCATATAGTGTCCATAAGCAGATGCATAGGGAGACTGAGAATACTGACAGCAGAGTACGTATCCCTAATGCACTTCCAGTCTCTTAACTATGGGTTAAGATCAGGGTCTTTCAGAGCTGGATGTGATTTTGTTGTACAGGTAGGTGCCAGTGGATTTCTCTTCTGTGAACATTTTCTGTCTCCCCTTGCCCATGTAAAACTCCCAGCACCCGCAGCAATAAGTTAAGTGTCCATGTCAAAGAGAGCCACCTTCTTTGTGAATATCTCATGCTTATCTGCCCTCTCTGCGCTATCTAAAATCTGCAGTTTGCTGACTTCTGAGTGAATTGTAGCTATTTAGGGAGATAACCCAGACAGGTTTGAAGAGAAGTCCATGAAAGCCTCTCTTTTAATGCACAATAGCTATTAAGTGTGGCTTGAATGGCTGTCAGCCAGTTGCAGGCACATCCACTCATAAAGAGCTCAGCTAAAGCACGTGAGGGATTTTCAGGTTTCACAGATAGCAAAGCTTGGACTGCATTTTTAGGGGGATGGGTGAGGAAACTTGGTTTTTTTTGACATCTTTTCTAAATGAAGGTTTTGAGTTTCAGGGTGAAGCAGCTTTTCAGGTCTAGGCTTCTTTAGCCTAGATAGCTGCTGCCTTTAGATTCAGGATGTGCTACAGGGAAAGGCTGTGATGACTGATCCCAGTGAGTTTGCAAAGGCTGGAAATGGATGTGTAACTTGTGTGTTGCCAAGTTTTGTCATACCTTCTGGTCACTTAGTGACCTGCTTGCTAGTTTTATGCAATCATATCTTTTAATTAGGAATTAAGTATTTTACAATTCTTCCTAATGAATGTATTTTTATATCCTTTGATTGTATAGGGTCTAAAAGATTTGCTAAGTTTCTCTCTTCTATAGATGCTAAGCATAGATGAATACTTCAGGTAGATTTTAAAGCATCCAGGTGATGATTTTCTTGCATCTCCAGGAACACATTGCTCATCTTGGAGCTTTGTAAACAGTATCTTCCAGGCTGTTATCCGCTGAGACCACTCCAAAAGTACAGTCAGGGTCTCTCCCCTTGTCTTTGGTCCTCATGCCTCTTCTCCTACAGTGCATGTTTTTTCCCTTTGAATGCCCTTCCCACTCATTTTCTCCCAGACTTGGTGTCAGCCAATTTCTAGGGTGGCCTCTGGACCATTTAATAAGCCACCACGTAACCCATGTAGCCATGTAATCCTTCCACTGCCAGCTGACTGGATAATCACAAAGTGTTGCTAGAGCAAGTTGGCAGGAGCATTGTCTTGGGACTCATATTGGTCCTTGTCACTGCCAGGCAACAGACAGGACTATTTCTCTCCAAATTTTCTAGATATTTTGAAAAATCTGTTCTTCTCGGGGAAAAAACAGTTAACCAGACATGCAAATAATCTCTATGCTAATCTAAATGCTCTTACCCTGGTTTTGATTTTTTTATTTTTTTATTTTTTACTTTGAATTTGATTTTTACTTTGGACATTGTAGGACAAAATGTATGCCAAATAAGCTTATTGTACAGCATCAAGAATCTCAGAGTGCTCAAACTTTCCGGGCTATTACATACAAGAGGCTCTTTCACCACTGCTTGCTTGCTATTTTCTTTTATTTATTTTGGGATTAAAAGAGAGTTTAAAAGTATCCAGCCCTCATGTCAGGGTTGTCAGTGAAGCAAAGACAATTCTGCTCATCCCTCTCAGTCCTGTATTCTGGATGTGCTGGTTACATCCATACGAGCAAGTAAAATAGGTCAGGCAATGTCCTTTAGTGCTGCCTATGATATGGCATATCATAGCTTGTTTTGCACAGCCAGGCTGTCCTCCCACACCAAAACAGAGCCCAGACTGTCTCTGGGGAGCAGCATACCCAACTAGGTGGGCCAAAATTGTGCCAGGAATGCACCAACGGCTTAATAATGCGGCCCTGCTTTTACCTGTGCTCATGACCCACTTAGTATTGTGGTACAGGTGAAGCTGTTTGGTCTGTGCTTTTGTCAGTTCATTGCAGTGCTGCTACATCATTGCAAGGGAGCAAGGCACAGCTTGTTGGGTGAGGCAAAAGGTTTTAAAGACAGGTGCTTGCTTTGATAAACACCTCCTGGCAAATGGTGCCCCACTCTGAAGTTGACCAAAAACTTCTTGTAGGTGTTAAGTGGGCCAAACTTTCCACTTTTTCTTTCTCCTTGTAGGGTTCCCAACACCAAAGTTACTCTCCTGCTATTTCAACACATCACTAAACAGTTACCGTAAGGGGACCAAGCCCTTTACATGTGCAGTTGGGGGGCCAGGGAAATTACATGTTTTGTAAGGGTATTCATGTGCTTTAGCATATTTCTAGAAAGAGAAATTCAGTTGTAGGTAAACAAAATAGGCATGATGGGTATAAGCACTTATTGGCCAGAATTAGGAGGAATTTTAGAAAAAATCTGCTGTGACAGCCTTCTGGTTAAGGCTGGAGGCAATCTGTTTACTACTGTCATTAGGACGGTAGCTATTTGTTGGTATAATAAATGCGTGATATTACTTACAGTAGTGCTAGTTTCTTGTAAACTTCAGACATGTCCTATGATCCCTATTTTATGCAAGCTTGATTTGAAAGGCTATTGAAATTTCAGGAAAAACTTCTAGGAATTAATCTTCCTTGACTGCAGGCAGTAGAGGTGTAGCACGAGGTACGCCTCTAGAGCTACACGAGGTCTGCTTGCTCCAGGCTTCCTTTGTAGTTAAAAGTAGAAAAGTCAGCAGGTCTAGGGCGTGATTCATGTGACCTATTTTAGGGATGAATTATATCCCATTTCCATTGACTGCATGGGCAGCCTAGATGATGAGCTTAGATACAGATGGCTGTGCTGTGGATGTTAGCATTTAATTAGAGGACAGGCTGGGACTGGGGTGGGATTTGTTTGTGATAACTGAGACTGAAACTTGTCAAATAATAGATGATTAACAACACGGTTGACAGAAGTCTGGTTGCTCCCTGTCACAGTGCTCATCAGTATGCTGAAACTCAGCATGGAACACCCGCCCCCCCCCCGGCCTTGGTACCTGCTTTTGTGGAACACCTGGCTCCATGCTGGTTATTCACAATAATTTATTTAAATTTCTTGTTGTAAGTAGATGAACAGGAAACTGCATGCATGGTTTTTCTCCAGGAAAAAGACTCCAGACTGTGAAACTTCCTGTTGACAAGACAACTTCCTGCTGTTTCGGAGGAAAGGATTATTCAGAAATGTATGTGACTTCTGCCAGTGACGGGATGGATAAAGAGTGGCTTTCACGGCAGCCACAGGCTGGTGGGATTTTCAAGGTGAATGATATTTTTTCCTGTCTTTTTAGAAGGCCATTTTTTCCCTCCTGCATTTTTCAGGTAGCAAACCAGTTGGAGTGGTGGGAAGCAGGAGGAGGATGGTTGTTAGAACATCTGTCCTATATGTTAAACTATTGTTCGTATTTTTGGTTCCTGTTGCAGGATGAGAAAGTTAAATGTATTTAGAGATTTGAAAATACTTTTGGGTTTAAAATTTGTAACAATGCTGATACTGCAAATTTTCTATGCCATCACCTCTTTCTACTTCTGCCCCTCCCAACACAGTTTGAGTTTTCTACTTTTTATGGAAAGAATGTGTAAATACTTCTGTGTCTTAATCAATGGCAGACAAAAGCATCTGCCTTTATTTACTTTCTAGTTAGCTATAACTAAATTATCTCTTTAAAAAGTTATCACCTTGGGATTTATTTTAAAGCCCTGCTCTATGTGTGCATACTGAAGGTTACATTGTGAATTGCAGAATGAAGGCTTAGTAGTATCTGAGAAGAGGCTTTTGGGGAATGGTCTCTGGCCTGCGATTACTGAGCTTTACAGAAAGAGCATAGGTTGAAGTTCCTGGCTGTGATGAGCTGCCGTGTGCAAAATATAGTAGGGTGTCAAGTTGGAGGACACAGTCCTTTTCTAAATTAAAGCATGTCTAGTTGTGAAAGAAAAGCAAGTGCCTGTTAGTGGTGAATTATTGCACTAATCTTTTTTTCTCCTCTTTGTTTTAATAGATAACAGGGCTAGGTGTAAAAGGAGTCCCACCATATCCATTTGCAGGTTGAATATACACTCTTCAGAATGGATTAGAGAGGACTGACGTAAGCAGGACAAGTTGCAAGGTCTTATTCTGGTGTTCAGCATTTTTTGCTTTGAAACCGTAACACAATTATAACATCTCATCAGGAATAGATGAAAATCTACTGAAATACGTGGAATATTTTAAAACTGGCCTTTTTTCCCCCCTTTAAACTCTATTACTGTAAATACCTGATGGTGCTTTTTCTGTTGTGCTAAAAAGATTCTCACCCTATAAACTACTGAATGTTGTAACTCTTTTATGATTAAATAATGTTTTAATATCTTTTCTTTTTATTGTTTATTCACCCATCTCATTTGCCACTTATGCTATACTGATTTATGGATTAAACTACTTGTACTGTCTCTTTTACATATTTTCAAAGTTCCTCATAAAATATCCATTTGTGGTCTTACTGCTGCTTTAACTGGAACTTGATTTGTCCCATGATGTTCTCAACAACTGAAACATTAATACCTATTACTGTGCGCCTGCAGTTTCCTTTTTACATTACATTTTTAAGGCCTCAGCTGTGGTTGTACGTAAATTAACTCTGATCGGCTGGAGCCGATTATCATCTCTCCCCAGTGCATGTCACTGTGTTGCTCATTTTGTTAAACATGAACCCAAACTTTTGGGATCAAGAACAATATCTTTGTTCATCCTCTGAAGGTCTCAGCCTGTTCTGGGGAGATCCGTGATGACAGGAAAGCATCAGGCATTTTTGGCTGTTTGAGTTTAAAAGAAAATGCCGCCTGCACATACCTCCTGCTGAACCAAACTCCCCCACAGCAGCCAGAGAGGCAAGAGGGGCCTGCATGCCGAAATGGCCACTGCTTCTACAAATGTGCAGGAAAGGGAAGTTTTATTGTAATTTCTTCACAGCACCTGTTGTAAATGGCAAGCTTATTCACTGGATTGCTTTTTTGTTGGTAACTTCAGGCCTGTATGTGCTGAAACAACTGTGATGTAGCTCAGTTGGTTTTTAAACTGCAAGATTTTGCTCTTGGCATGTTAGATGTTTCCGTGCTTGTGCACCTCTACCTGCAGGTCCCTGACCCTGTTCTGCTGTGAGGGTAACCCACTGACTGCCAAGAGAGCCTGTGGCTGTGCGTTTTCTCTGCAGGTAGCTCCAAGAATTGGTATATCGTGGTTTTCCAGTGTGTCTCTGCAAGACTGCTGGAGTTAGTTTCTCTCTGCTGGATCTGCTTGTGTCTGCCTTGCCCCCTGAGTGTGCAGTGGGCGACTCAGCTGCTAGCCCCTGGGTCACACTGAAGCCTTGGTGCTGCTTTGAACCAAGGGTTCAAAGGTGACTTTGTGCAAGTCACCATTTTCCCTCTTTAAAGCATGTGGGGGTATGTCTTGGCAGCGGGAAAAATAGAAGGTTTAAGCAGCCCCACTTCAGGGTAGAAGATGAGCATGAAGTGGTGAAGGAAGCTGGGGCTTGTTCTTTTTGAGTACCCGCCATCCTTCGTTTACTTTACGTGCTACGAGGTAATCCCAGCACAGTAGAGGGAAAGTTTATGAGTTGAGGGAGATGGTGAATGTGGCAAATTTAGGGCTCTGATCTCACTGAAGTCATGAACCTGGTGCTAACTGCAGCTCAGGAACCATGCCGTAGGGCTACTGTGGTTGATCGCTAATGGACATTCAGAGATGCAGCAGAAAATAAGTAGGCATAAACATAAATAAGCTCCCCTCCCTCTGCCATTGCTGTCATGTTGCAAAGGTTGCCCCATGAGGTTTTGTACCTGTGCTCACCCTCACCCCACTGCAATGGCAGTAGGGTGATTGCCAGCACAACACACAGCATCTGCTGATCCTTTTTTGTTGTTGTTGCTGCACTAGAAAGGTAGCAGCAACAGCTTGTACAGGCATGAAAGCTCTGGTCAAAGATTAGTTTGTCACCGCAGGCCAAGAGGCACCCAGGAGACATAGGGAGGATGTGGCTGCTGGAGCCCCTCATCCGCCCTGGGCAGAAGTCCGATGCGTGCGTGTCTCTGTGCTTGGGAGCGTGGGAGCAGGAGCAGGTAAAATAAGCTTCTGCAGACATTTTGCAAATAAATGCCACCTCCCCCTTCTGCAAGATCACCTGCTGGGCTTTGCTACACTGGTTTCACTGGCATCACATGAGCAGGAATAGCCAACTCTGCCAGGAGAGTTGTATTTTTGACGTTACCGAAATGCCCTGGGAGCACGCCTCGCCACAGCCTCCAGTGCAGAGGCCGTAGCTGCTTCCCGCGTCCCGGCCCCGAGGAGCCCAAACAGGCGCTGCCAGCGTATCTTGACTCGAGTCCCATGACAGAGCACCGGATCCAGCAAACCAGAGCTGAGCAGTTGCCCATTCCCTCAATTAGGAAGGCTTCCTGACTTTTGTTTAATCCCTCGCTTATTAATGGCGCTCACCTCTTTGATCAAAGACTTGCACTGATTTCAGTTAGGGTTGAGCAAGAACCCAGTGACAGGAAAGGCTGTATCAGGAGGAGCAGCTGCTGTGCCCCGAAGGGTTTCTTCAGCCTCGTGACCAAAATCTATAGTCATAGGTGAAGCGTATTTATTCCCAACCAAGCTGGAGAAAACTCAAGTAATCCTTTGCTGGCAAAATAGCTCTGCTGAAATAAAAGCAGGCGGCACTGACTGCCCAGGGAGCTCCGGTTCTTCCCATTTTGAGCACTGGGGAGGGACCAGGCCCTTCCTACCAAAGGGCGAAGCCACGAGGAGATAAGCCTTGGCTTCACTTCTGGATAACGCTGTCGAGTTGGATATTGCCGGGGTGAGTAGCTACACCTGTGTCTGTCTGGGGTTTTTAATAACTGAGTCTTCATTAACTCTAACTATGCCTGTTGTCGTCTCCAAGAGGGAGACAACCACAGAAGATTACTGTCTAGGTGAACAATGACTGTAAGAGATTGGGACAATCAAATTATATGCAAAGTCAAGTTTCTAGAGTAATGACAGCTGGGGTGGACCCTTAAGGGGAATAAGTGACACAAATGTAATTTGGGGAGTTGTGGAAAAAAAAAAAAAAAAAGAGGGGAACGATGGATTTACTAAATATTTGCAAAGCTGCAGTAACAAACTCAGACCTGTTGTCTGAGCACATGCCTGTAGGTAACAAGACAAATATAATTATTTAAATACCACATTAGTGTATGTGGTACACTAATGCCTTGATACGCTCTCCCAACTACACTCTGTCGATAAAAACTAGGGACTATAAAAAGAAGTGGTAGGAGTTGCATCAGAGGAGACCAAAGCAGTGGGAAAGGAGAGAGGACGGCACCCCAGAAGGAGACGCTGTGGTGGGGCATCAGCCAGAGGTACAGCAGCATGTGGCCACCTTTGGCCAACTTTACTATAAACTTCTGCTTTGCAACCCAGCAACGTTAGAAACAAATGAAGTGCATGGCAGGGGTAGGCTCTTTACATTGTGGTAATAATTAAAAGAATAGCTGACTGGCTAGCAACAGATACATGCACCTGCTGCTGCGGGGTTGCACCATTTGTCAACAGCATCCGCAAAGCCTTTGAGACATGTCTCCTCCTAAAGTGACTGACCTCTAGAAAGGTAGACATGGGACGTTGAAATGGCGTGCCGAAGGTGGGAGATGTGATACTTGTGCTGGTGTAAGAGATGGTGCAAAATGCGGTGGGGGCATCCCCAGAGCAATTGCAGCCACCCAAGTAAACGAGAGAGACGTGCTCTGGTAGTGTTTTCACGGCTGCTGTCCTGCCTAGTGCTGCTGATCTGGCATCCAAGCTGCTTGCCAGGAAAGCAGCATATGCTTTTTTTTTTTCAGTTGTGGTGAGGTGAATGCTTCATCCCTCTGCATGACTTGATTTTACTTTGCCACAGCCGGTGGTGGGGAAGTCAGTCAAGTCACCAGAAGAAAAGAGCTGAACGGGAAATGTGGTTTTCTCCATCAAAATTCCTTTAGAAAAAATGCTGTGGGAAATATTTTGCAGGAAAAAAGATGCTTTTTTTTTTTCCTGCAGCTGAGATCCAGTTGCTTTTCTTTTTAGATTAAAGCAGTTAAAATTGTTGTAAACCAGAATTTTCCTTTTGAATATGTCTTCCAGCTGAAAATGCTGTGAAAAAAAGATGCCTATTGTTCTACATGAACCTCCCTTCAAAGTTATCATTTAGGTTAAAAGAAGGGGAGAGTAATGTGAAAAATGTTGTGAGAGCAAGCAGAGACAGAGGGTTCACACTGAAATTAGATGGAGCCGATGGCTCGGGCTGGGAGGCCAAGGAAGGCTGTGAAGGGTCCTCAAGGCGCCCACAACCACTTTGCTTGTAATGCAGCCACCCTGGCAGGAGTTTAACTGGGAAATATTACTGGCTTTTTCACTAGAAGTGTTTGGATTTGTCTCTGTTTTAAGGCTGTAATTTCTTAATCTCCAATTTTGGATCGACGGTGACTATGACAGGATAATACTAGGTCTATCTCAGCTATTTGCTTATGTGGGAAAAATGTTCATCCTGTGAATCATTTGAACATCAAATTAAAATGCTCATTAAAGTCTTGCACGAGTAAAGAAATGCATTGCTCTTGCATGCTGGTTTGGGGCCAATTCCTCCCAGGTGCCTTCTGCCCTCGCTGAATGTGGTGGGGGCAGCGACTGCCAGCAGCAACCTGCCTCCTGCCTCCTCCCATCGCCGCAGTAGGCAGGACCCGCAGGGGTTCCTTGTCACCAAAACGCTGGTGGTGGCCCCGGCTCACTGCCCGGCTTGCACTCTGTCCCCACGGCATGCCTGCCCCCGTCCCCACCTTGGGGGACCCGCTGCCACCTACCTCTGCTGAGCGGGGCTGGGAGGGAGAAGGCACTCGGCATCTTCCACCTGCACCTCCCACAGACAAAAAAATGGCAAATGCCAAAGCAGGGAAAAAATAAAAGTCTTAAAAGCCAAGCAAGATATTGCCATCCAGCAGCATCCGTAGCAATCGCCGAGGCTCCCTGGGTGTGCTCTGGGCAGCAGCTTGCAAGTCTCCACCACCGGAGCAGGGATCGGGCTTTGCATATTTGAGGTGAGGAGCCCTTCGAGGAGAGCAGGTGACTTGGCACTTGAGAAGATTGTGGCACAGCTGGGAAGTCTTAGTGATGCTAATATGCCTTAATCACAAGAATGTTTTTCCTTATCATTCAAAAT